TAGTTTAGTACTGGAGAAATTAGCGTTTGAATGCGCATTGTGAGCCTTTAATAGCTCTTGATTTTATTTACGGCGATTGGAAACATGGCATTTTGAGTAGAACCCCCTCTAACACGCTCACACTCATTCTTTTGCAAAATCACGTGAGAGCTAATTATCGTATCGCGAATAAAACGGTCATAATTAACAAATTACGTGTAAGCGAATCTACGTAACTTGGGTTGTCGTAACCCGGGGTAATGTGTACTTCGTACCGGATACATAATCCGTAATTATAGTGTTATTTTTGTATACGAATTAACTAAACTAATATTTTAGTGAGTAGCCGACGTCGATGAAAGAATTGGCCGCGGAGTTAATAGTGCTTGTACAACTCTGTCTCACCGTTGTTATTTGTTCGTTATTGTCATTTTTCTAGTTAGATTGCATATGCATGAATCAAATTGGCGAAATTTGCCAACGAGTTTTATCAGGAGCTTGTGAGCGAAAGAATTCTAGTGTCTCAGTATTCTAGCATCTAGGATTTAATATTGCTTGTACAATTCTATCCCACCGTTGTTATTTGTTCGTTATTGTCGTTTTTCTAGTTATATTGTATATGCATGAATCAAATTTGCGAAATTCGCCAACGAGTTTTATCAGACGCTTGTGAGGGAAGGAATCCTAGTATCTCACATGAGAATTGAATTTTCAATTTCAGAAATTTACTGCATTACTACATTACAGCATGCATTTTTCTGTAAATGATTTTCGTATTCATATTGGCATACTGTATCCATTATTCCTCGACAGCAACCTTATAAAACGCATACTAAAGGTTGTTGATTCAAGTAACGATAACTTCACCAATGAAACAGACTCATACAACTTCGTCCCATTCGTGACGCGCGTATATACTCGGTTATGTGTCTAAATTGACGATCATCATAAAATCTGTTGGCTAAATTGTAAGCAATTTTATGAAATTTTAAGCTGAGTGTACACTACAGACTTTATAATGTCAAATTGACGAATTGGACCAATTTCGCAATTCGGCAACACCGAGTTGGGCGAAAATAGAACATGTTCTAGTCTCCCAACTAGTTGCTCGGACGAATTTTACGTTTACACCGCCGATTGACGGTTGTGTGATTGCGAAATTGGTCTAATTCGCTAATTTGACAACATAAAGTCGGTAGTGTAAACCCAGCTTAAAATTGCATATCGACATTAAAAATGCATAAATATCAGTGATAATTTCGTTTTGCACAATTGGGTAATTTGGGTAATTTGCACCACAAAACCTTGTCTTTCTTCTCATTTGAATGCGTGAAAAAGAAAGGATTTAAGCGTTACACGAGCACGGATAGCACGCGCACATCACCAACGGGAGACATTCAAGTAAATTTGTAAAGCGCTGTATTCGCTCTGTAAATCCGCATGTTGATGTGTTCTCGGTCGCGGGAGCTGAAAATCCAAGAAAATCATATCCAGGCAGCAGGAGTGCAGGCAGCAGTGTTTTAGCCGTCACATGCATGACGTAGACACTGTGCAGTTAGACACGTCGTCGTGCGGTGTTCACGTTCAGCTGTGAACGCAAAACGATCTATAAATAAGAAATCGACGACAAATTCAACACGTCTATGCCTATAATCAATTAACGTCACAGTTGCTTTACTTGTGGTACTGCAATTAATAAATTTATTCCTCTTCGCTTCTCGCTTCGTCTGCGGTCCTCCTACTTTCCCTCTCCCCTTCTCTCTATCTCTCTGCACCTTTCTCCCTTTCCACTCTCTCTTATTTTCTCTCTCTCTCTCTCTCTCTCTCTCTCTCT